CTGGGAAGAGACACCAAGACCACGGCAAGCCTTACAAAGGAAGGCATTTAACTGGGGCTTGCGTACAGTTTCAGAGGTTTAGTCCCTTGTCAGCATGACCAGAAGCATGCCGGGACACAGGCAGACATGGTGCTGGAGAGGAGCCAAGAGTTCACATCTGGATCCAAAGGCAGCAAGAAGAAAAAGACATGGGTGTACCACTCGCGGTCCTGAGTTCCTTGCTCGTGCTCCCTCTCCTGGACCTGATTTGGACCTTGAGATTTCTGTCCAGTGCTCCAATGTGGGTCTCTGTCTCTGTCTCCTTTCATCGCCTGATGAAGGTTAATATTCAGGAGGATACGGGGATGTTCTATGGGGAACTCACCAAGGCCAGCTGGCCTGGGTCTGAAAAAGCATGGGATAAAACCGGACTCGCTGAACACAGCGGACAATGAGGACTACTGAGAACTCAAGAACAATGGCAATGGGTTTTTGATCCTACTGCATGTCCTGGCTTTGGGGGAGCCTAGGCAGTTTGGATGCTCACCTTACTAAACTTGGATGGAGGTGGGCGGTCCTTGGACTTCCCACAGGTCAGGGAACCCTGATTGCTCATCGAGCTGATGAGGGAGGGGAACTTGATCGGGGGAGGGGGAGGGAAATGGGAGGCGGTGGCTGGGAGGAGGCAGAAATCCTTAATAAATAAATAAAATTAAAAAAAAAAAGAAAAGAAAAAGAAAAAGACATGGGCCAGGCCAGAGTCTCTGAAACCCACCTCACAGTGACACAGTTTCTCCAATGACGCCGTATCTCTTAATCTCTCGCAGGTAGTACTACTCCCCAGTGACAAACACACACACACCACACACACATATATGAGCCTATGGGGGGCATTCTTACTCAAAGCACCACAGTTACCTTTTTAATGATTCTACAGATGCATCTTACACTGTCCTGCACCACTAGCATGTTTTCTGCACATGCACGTTCAATAGGAATATTTCTCATGGTCACCCCTGAAACAAAGCCCTCTCCAACTACAGAACTTTCTTCCTTCTTTTGATAAAGGTCAGGACATAGGTGGGTGTAAGAAGGAAGTAGCTGTATCAGGCAAGTGGCAACTAACAGCTCCAGTTTTGAGGAAACAATCGATTAAGAGAAACTACAGCAATCGGATAGTTCATGTGCCCATTTCAAGGAAGTGGGTAGAGCAGGGATGCAGGCTCATTGGGTAAAGATTCCTACTACAAAGCCTAAAACCTGAGGTCTGGCCCAGGCACCCACATAGTAGGAAAGAACTGATTCCTGAGGTTTTTCTCTGACACACAAGCACCGTAGCACATGTACACACACAAGCACGTGCACACAGGTGTGTGTGTGTGTGCTCATGTGTGTTCTCGCACAAGCACATACACACATGAGTGAATAAATGAAAACAATGAAATAAAGGAGGGGTACAGATTTACAGTCCCAGCACACTGCAGTCATAAAGGAATTCCATGTCCCAGTGGTGCCAATCTGCGTCTAGAAGCTCAGTGGTTGGTACAGGACTTAGGAGGCAGTCCCCAGCACTAAAAATAAACAAGCATTTCAAACCCACCTCCTCCAGTGTGCTTCCTTCTGCCATATGCCCAGCACTAGACACACAATTAAGGAGTCTAATGTATGGATTATGGGATGCTTTAAGTTTTCAGATATCGCCAGTGTATAGCTTAGGTTAAGAACTGATGTTCTAATTGAAATCTCTCATCTTACACAAGACCAAGTCAAACGTCAAAAAGCTAAATATGTGGCTCAGAAACCCACCAAGTTTGCGGCAGGCCTGGAGAGAACCGCAGGAGAGAGTAAGGAAGTCCTTGCTTCATTTCTCTTACTGTTACAACTATCCTGACAAATAGCAACATAGGGGTGGGAGAGGACCACGCCAGGCTTTAGCCGATTACTGCAGGGAAGTCAGTTCAAGAATGTATAAAGCATCATACTCAGTTGAGAGCAGAGAGAGAAAAATAAACGCGTGGATTCATCTTTGCTTGCCTGTTCTCACAGCTTTCTCTGCTCTTGGACTGTTCAAGATCCCCACCTAGGGAATGGAATGGTATAGCCAACAACTGGCTGGGTCTTCTTACATCAGTCAACAGCCAAGATAATCCTTTCCTGGCCAACCAACCAGATCTAGATAGTTCCCCAAACTCTCTTCCCAGGTAATTCTAAAGTAGTGTCAAATTGACAGTTAAAATTAACCAGAACGGAAGAAAGGAGAAACAAAAAACAAGCTTTACCGAAGGGCAGTGTTAACTGGACTTTGCCAGTTTGTGTTCACTGCCTGCCTTTCTCTGCCTTGACCCCAGTCCCAGGAGGTGGTTCGACAGGTCACTTTGGTAGACCTGACAGTGAGAGACACTATAAGCAGAAGACCAGAGTGTGGGAAGATTGTGCAGCTCCTCCTGGGTGACCTTGTTCCCTCAGCACAGCTGCCCACACCTCCTGACAAAGCCATGTTTCCACAAGCCTCGCATCTCCCCTGTGAGTCCATTCCCACTGCTCAGTGGACCTCAATGGCCTGACAGCTTTTGTAGGTTTCTCAAACCTGTTCGTAACTCTGAAAATAGCTCAATTATTAATGCTTCCTGCCTGAACACGGAAATCTATGCAGACACATAGTGCTATGTAGCAGGATGCGCTCTCTGAGGTGGGAGCTGGTTAGAGGCGACCTATATTATTTACTGTGGTCAGGAAAGTTTGATAAACATTTTCAAGGTTCTCCCTCCACCACTGCCTGTGTAGCTCAGAACTTCTAAAAATAAACATTTCAAGACCTCTTTGTCACCACTGAATTAAATAATTATGTCCATCTATAAGAAAGCATATGTTCACACTAACGGTTCGTCATTGTCCTGCACCCTCAGCAGTGGAAAGGGACACCTGGTACGTGGTTTACCAGTGCCCAGCACACGTGAAGAAACACTTGAACAGTTCTAACATGTGCCGCTATCATGGACGTCCAAGTTAGGACATTTATTCTTACACAAAGCTACCTTGTCATAGCTAACACGTAGTTGATAGAGCCGAGCAGCTACAATCAAGCCAAGCAACAAGTGACTATGAAATAAATGTCTCTCAACATGGAAGACCCAGGAGCCACTTTCAAGTTCCACATTGAAATACAACTTTCACCTCCTCTGGGAGGGTAAAAGAGGAAATGAAGCAGCTTTCAAAGACATGGAAATTGCTGGAACCCTCTGCAGGACAAGTGCCTTTCTGATGCTCTGGGAGCATGGTGCCAGGAAGAATCCCTGCTGCTGTCAGTCTTGAGGGTGCAGAGCCAGAGCTGAGCCAGGCACACCAGGTCTGATCATGCATAAAACCCTCCTCCAGATGCTGTGTGGCCTGACAGCAGATGTTCACACAAGAGGACAGCGACTATGGTGTTCCTCCCAATTCTACACACCTGGTGACCTCAGTCCAGGGAAAACCTAATCCTGACACACTCACTGTACTTCCATTTACAATGCCAAAAGAGCAAATCAAGAGAAACACTGTATTAAACAAAACTGTATTTCTGCAAGAGCATTACTAAATCCAAATACAAGCCATCCAGTGTAAGAAAACCCAAAGGAAATTCACTGTAAAACATAAAAAAAGTATCATTTAAAATCTATTATTGTCTCTCCCTGAAATGAAAACAATCCATCCATTACTTTACTACGATTGCTGTTTATACTAGCCATTCACAAAAGCTGGAGATTTACTCTGTCACGGGATCCGAAATCAGGGTTACGCATTTGCTTCCACAATAGGAACTGATGCTGCTAAATGCTTTAGACACAAACATGCATTAGCCATGGAATTTTTAGTTTGGCTCCTTGGGCCATCCCTGAGTAGAGCAAAAGATAACTCCACATAACAGAGAAGGCCCTCAAAGTGAGCCTGAAACCAAACTCAAGCACTGTGCACCAGCTCTGCGTGCCTTCGGCCTCATCCACTGTACCAGGCTGCCTCCCCAAGGTGAATTTAACCTGTACACTGGCCAGGTTCTCAAGCTAGCCACCAAAGGGAGGCATGACGAAAATAATGAATTTGCCTAATCTTGGCCCAACTATAAAAAGAGAAAATATCGTTGTAACAATGCGAGCCTTCTTGACCCCACAAACACATAATCGGGCCTGGCTTACAGTGACTCAATGGCTGGGATAAGAGGCTATCCCCACAGGAAGGCTAATTTTGCTGTATGGCCCGTCTAACCCCAAATTCCAGGCTTGAAGCACCCCGAACATGGAAAGGTCATTAAGGAAAAGTGAAAAATAGTAACAAAATATCACTAGTAACTAAATGATTCAATAACCAAAAGCCATTGTGGCAAAAAAAAAAAAAAAAAATTACAGGATCTTACTGAGGGACTTGGAAAAATTAGGCCTGCTAATCCAAACTTCTATAAACTTGCCTTATCGGACAAAGTCAATCAGAAAGCAAACCCAGAAGGCGACCCACGCGTGAATGCTTGCTTCAACTTTCTTTCCGGCACACAGTTACAACCCATCCATTTGGTGCGTGGAAGAAGGATGAGAGATGCCAGCAGGGAAGGTTAAAGCTTGGGCATCCAAAACACAACACAACCTGGAAAGTGACAAAACCACGAAGTGCCACCCGCAGTGTTTGCGGCCAAGAAGCGAAAAAGCACGCTAAAATTTAATTATAAGTTTGGCAACTTTCTAAGACAGGAACCTGAGTATTTCGAGCTCCAGGAATCGCTCCCATCCCTAAGCAAGCCATCCTCCGAGATAGCGGCCAAGCCAGCGGCAAAGAGTGGACTGTCGCTGCAGGCATTAGCCCGGTCTCCTCCGCGCGGACCGGCCCGCCCGCCGCCACCCGAGCTGCTGATGATCTCTGGGCCGTGTTTTTAAAAGCCCGGGCGGACGGCGGGGCGAAGGGTGCGCAGAGCTGGGCCCCCGGAAGGAGCGGGGAGGAGCAGAGGAGGCAGGAGCGTCCCGGGAAAAGTCGAAGAGGGCTGCTAACTGGCTCACCTAGCAGCAGCGTGCTCCAGGTCCGGCCGCGCCCGCGCCGCAGGCCCAGCGCCCAGCGCAGCCCGACCGCCAGGCGGCCCGCGAGGCCGTCCGGGGCGGGCGCAGCGGTCTCCGCGCGGGGCCCCTTCCTGCCCGCCGCGCCTCTGCGCCCCGGAGACGGCGGCGCGCGCTCCAGCCCCGGCTCCCCGGCGCCCACCTCGGATGTCCCGCTCAGTGGCGGCGGTGACGAGCGGGCCGGCCGGGGCGGCCTGGGAGTCGCGTCCCGGTGCTTGTTCCGCGCCTGCAGGACCATCTTAGCATAGTCGCGCCCGCTAGCTGCGCGCGCCCGGACGGCAGCCGGGATCCGCGGACTGGCGGTCGCTCACTCCGGCCGGCGAGGGCGGGCCGGGAGGCGGGGACAGCGCGGGCCGGGCGGCCGCTGCCTACTGCTGGGCGGCCGGGAGGCGGCGCCGGACTCGCGCGCCTCCGCCGTTGCCGCTCTCGGGTTGCCACGGCGACAACGGAACGCCGCGGGGCGGGGGCGGGGACAATCTGCGAGTGGCGCGGCCCCGCCTCTCCAGCGCGCGCGCCCCGGCGCGTTCCGGCCAGCAAGCGCGCACGCGCGAGCTGCGAGCGGGGCGGGACCGGCGACTGGGAGGGGGAGTGAAACGATCAGCGTGGACGACCTCCCGGAAGCTGCCGTGCGCCCTCGGGGACCGGCAGTGGGGCCCTGAGGCCCTGTGGCGCCGGGTCGCGCGGGGTGGGAGCCGGGTGGCCACGGAAAGGCTCAGTGCGTGCGCTCCGTAGTTCTGTGCGTTAGGTTTGGGCATGAAACTAACGGGGTAAAGTGTGGCCTCGCCCTTCTAAGAATCAGCTTTCTGGCTCACAGATGAGAAGCTGGGGCCGGACTGAGTATTCAAATAGTGCCTGTCCCACGGGATGGAGCGGGAGTGTAAACTGATAGGAAACGGAACTAAAGGCATAAGAGAAAAGAGACTGTCAGCAAATGTTATCGACATGTTACTTTTACCTGCTGCATCCTATCTTTCTTACCAGAAAGTATGGAAACTGCTGAGATGGGAGACTTGAAAACAAATTTTCTCCTAGCAGAATGTAGGAGTAAATGAAGAAGCCCAGAGAAAGTTTAAAGGAAAGAAGGAGGAAGGGAGGAGAGAGAAAGAGAGAGTGAGAGAGACTCTATTTGCACAACGCCTTGGAGGATTGCAATAGAGAGAGACTCAGTGTTTGACTCCTATCCAAGTGAACTTGTTCCAAGAAGTGTGGATTTTGGAAATCAAGGCACATGGTTCTGCCTTTCTCCATTGTGGTTACAGGGTTTTCAGGAAACTGTGGCTTCTCTTGCTCACGACTTTATTAATATCAGAATTCATTAACTCAGTCAAGAAGAATGGATTTTGTGAAAGGACTTAGCGCTATATTACACCTTGAAAGTTTCCTGAGTTTGGATGTTAAATTATGTATTGAGACAAGGAGCAACTGTTTAAGACACTTCTGTAAGAAAGTGATTGACTGTGCCCTACAGAAGGCTTATATTGTGAAATAAGATATCCGGTCAGTCTAGTGTTATTTCTGGGGTTGGAGCTGAATTTGTCACCCACCAGAATAAAAGAAACTTTACCCAGTGTCTGCCAAAGACAATAACAATGAAGTCATCGCTAGCGTGTTTGTTAATTAGAAAACACACAGAGCTACGGTATTTGATTGCTTGTCTCTCAGATGTGGAGGGGTAAGTGTAGTAATTAGGAGCGGCGGGGCTGCGTCCCTAGCACCCCAGCCGCCTGGCTAGTTTATGCCCCGAAATAATTACACAGACACTGTATTCATTTAAGCACTGCTTGGCCCATTTCTATCTAGCCTCTTCTAGGCTAACTCTCGCACCTGGACTAGCCCATTTCTTATCATCTGTGTAGCACCGGTCTTACCAGGAAGATTCTAGCCTACGTCCATCCTGGGTTGGAGCTTCATCGCGTGCATCTTCCCGGGAGCGGGGAGCATGGCATCTCTTCTGAGGCGTCTGCTCCCGAGAGGAGAGCTGTCAAGTCTGAGCTCACTTCCTCTTCCTCCCAGCATTCTGTTCTGTTTTCTCCACTCACCTGTGTTCTAACCTATGAGGGCCAGCCAAGCAGTTTCTTTATTTTTTTAACCAATGACCTTCCTCCATCAGGTAAGGACTGCCTCTCAATCTGTCTGTCCAGTGGAGTGTCACCGGGAATATCGGCCACACTCCGGGGCAGGCCCCATGCTCAGGAGAAGTTAGCCTACAGAAAACAAGCTCTAGGGTTATGTTTTTGTGGAGTTTTTTTTTTCTTTAATTGTTTCAGATTTTTTTTTTTGTCATACTGGTCTTTTGTTTGTCCTAATTTTCACTTTTTGTACTTTTGTGGGAAGAAAATTGGGCGGGTAGGTAGTAAGTTCTGGGTGGAGGAAAATGATCAAAATAGCTCATAGGGAAAAAATTAAATATAACATGTACAAAAAAAAAAAAAACTTCTGTGTGTTTGCTTCCTACGAATTCTGGGCCCTGTAAGTGAACTTGATGGAAGAAAAAGCAAAACAAAACCAACTTCCCTTTAGCTGATACCATTATAGCAGATGATGTTCTTGTTGAATAAATGAATGAGTGTAAGAAATAGCACAATCGAACAATCATTCATAACAAGATGCCCCTAGTGCTTACACCTCCACATAGTTTGAGTTTCTGGAAGAAACCAAATCTTTTCCCACTCCTCTAAAACTGCATCAAGAACCCACGCTCAGAACTTGGCTGAACATTTGCTTTATTGACTTGAGAGAGGACCATTTATGACTGGAGCAGTTTGGTCTTAGTTCCTCTTCTGTGATGAGCAACCCTGAACAAGGGCAGCTCTTGAGCAATCGGGGGTTTTTACTTGGTTTGGTTTGGGTTCTGTTTAAACTGATGATTTTAACAGGCATTGTGATACATACTTGCAATCTTAACACTTTGGGGTGAGGTGAAGCAGTGGAATCTCAAGTGTGAAGCCAGCTTGTACTATATAGCAATACTCTGTCCAAATAAAAAAGGAAAGCGATCATTCTAGAACCAGGTCGAAGTTCTTATTCCCATGCCTGGCATGACTCACCTATCCACCCCTTCCCCTTTTGAATCTCAGTTTCCCCAACCTGCCATAAGGAAAATAAAAATAGCTACCTGGGAAGTTTGAGAAAGAGACACAGGGGTGGGGAGGAGAAAAAGAGAAAAACTAAAGTTCTAGCAATTATATCCCAATTATATCCACCGAGACTGTTGCTCTATGAAGGTTCAATGAGACTTGGGCAGAGCAATTGCTCTAACTGTTCAAAGCCCTGGGAAATGATAAGAAAAAGGAGTATGTGCGATCCTGCCTGAGACTTGAGCTGACAGTCCAAGATACTCTGAGGCAAGAGTTCAAGGGCTGCCCTTGATCTCAGTTTCTTTCAGCGACAGGCTTCTCAGGTCCGAGCTGTGGACCCCTCACTGATCGGTCCCTGCTTCTCACAGGTGCTTTACAAGATAATGTCCATTTCATGTATCATTAAACCGAGACAAAATAGCCGGCCATTCCTGTTGCCCGGTCCCCCAGAGGCAGGACATTTCACACAGGGACAGTGATAGAGCTAACACGGAGTCTTAGGAGATATTCCAGACTCGATTTAACCTCTACAAAATCCAGAAGAGCCAGAATCCAGTTTATTCATCTCAGGATCTTTAAACCAACACCTGCCGCAAACTGGTGGATATTTAAAGACTATAGCCCCCCCCCCAAAAAAACATGACAAACTGAAAGCTGCATTTTATTAATAAGATATGCACATGTTCTCACAGATCAATACAAGGCTATAATAAATTAAATTAAGCATTGGTGTTGTGGTTCTTTACTATGTTTTCTTTCTGTGCTTTAATGATGTGTCAGAAACAAATTTTTTTCTGTGAGAGTGTGGAAATACTAGCCTGAGACAAACAGCCAGGAACCAGAAAGAACTACTGCTCAAGAAAGGATCCAAGTCTGATCACTGAGCAAAAGCTCAATCCCTTTCTTGCTATGAAACTCTACCTTTCCCATTGAAATCAAAGCTCTGTATTGAAAACACTTTGTGTGTAACTTTAGGAGTCGTGGTAGAGGCTAGAAAATGGAAGTAAATATAGAATGAACTTTAAAAGTATAAAACCCTAAAGCAAGACAAGTACAGCAGAGAAGTAAATCTTAGTGATATTTAAGTGTAGGTATCAGGGAAACCTCAACTGGGTAGTGAGGAAAGCAAGTGGAACCAAAGCAAGGCTGAGCTGGGAACTGGCCTCTGTGTTATTGCTTAAGAGCTCTTATTTGGATCTTCAAAATGCTCCCCTTTGCTCTCCTACTCACGGGTACCAGACAAATGTGGACCATCTGGTATTTCTTCTTTGTCCTCTTGAGCCACATCATTTGATCCCTATTTTAAAGAAGTGCCCTGAAGTTCCATATTCTGGTGGGTTACTGGCTTAGTCCACAGAGACAGTAACCAGAATAGCCCTGGCTCTTCACTGAAACCTAAATGGGCATGAAGGCCTGTCTTCTGTGTAGCGCCTGGCTTTCAGCGAACCTGCCATTGTATTGTTTTAGTATAGTCTCTTAAAGTGAGAAAGAAACACACATAAATTGCTAGTTTATTGCTTTTCATATTTTTATCTTGTGTCTTTCTTGTGTCTGACCTTGTGATTTAAACTATTCATGTGCCCATGAGAGTTCCCTAGAGAGTTGATTATTAGGCTTAGCTATAGTGTGTAGTCAATCACTTTTTTGCAGAGGAGCATGTCTGTTAAACTAAAGTGGAATTCCAATTACTGAGGGCTTACTAGGCCCCAAATGTCTTAGCACATATTACAGACATTAAAAATTCATATGCCAAATCTTTATCCCGGAAGAGCCTACGGTTTAATTGGTGAGGCAAAATAAGATGGAACAAAATATGCTCATACAACAAAGCGTGGTTTTTTTTAGAACACAAGGACTAAATGCAGAAGAAGACATGATGGCTGGCACGATGAGGGAGTTTCCAGAGGGAAGCGAATGTGAAAAACTCAAAATAAGCAGGGATAAGCATATTTCTGAAGCCCTTCATCTGTATTTGGCAGATAGCATGTTTTAATATGACCATCTGAAATCCTATTTAGAATGAAGGCAGGGACTGAGTGAGTTATGTTATGAATGGACCGTGAAATGCTCAGAATGCACAGCCCATGGTGTGACTTTCAGTGCTCCCAGATCTGCCAGGATCAGACAACAGCCAGCGCACTGAGACTCACCCATACTAATGTGCTATAGGATGGTGCTCTTGTACACTGTAAAGATTTGTCACTCGTATTGGTTTAATAAAATGCTGATTGGCTAGTAGCCAGGTGGGAAGTATAGGTGAGGCAACTGGACTAGGAGAATTCTGGGAAGAGGAAAGGCA